CAGTAATCCATCCACAGAAAAACAACTAGGGATTTTGTCTAGAACAGAATTCAGTTTTAAGGAACAATTTGACATATCATAGAAAACAGATGAATAATCAGTATTGACATGATCCAAACCTGTGTTTCAGTCAGATTTTTTTTCCTGATAACTGCATTTCTCATGTAGTTTGTCGAATGAAGTCACTGCATTGTTTCAGCTAAGGCATTTCACTATTACTCATCAAACTGTTCTATACTTGTTGCAGAAATCATGTAATAAAATATCGATTAATAAAAGTATCAAAGATTATCAGCTATGTGTTATATATAAACATGTGCATACATTGTTTTTAAATACATTGAATGTAGTCAGCATAAAATAGTTTTAAAGAGCAGATGCCACCAAGAAGAAAGAAAAAGGAACAAAAAGAAAGAACAAAAGAAAGAAACTGCTAACAGAAAATTATTACCACTAAGATGCTTTATTCTGAGCGATAAAATGTGACTGATAGTTCTCCGGAGGAAATGTGCACAACAGTGGATATTTACCTAAACAACATTTTTTACTAAAATAGCACAATGATTTATAATATTACAGGCTATTTCAGAAGTTTCTACAGGATACTTTGTATAGATAGTGTACTATGTGGTGCAAATTACAGTGATTTGTAGCAGTGTAGAATGCAAGGCTAGAGCAATAAAGAAAGAAGAAGAATGTTCTTCCTTAAATCACAAGGAAAAGCAGAACTCGACACACATCTCTACACAACTTCACAGAGCATAGTGCATCAAAGTATTGAAACTGTCAAGTATAAATGACAATGGGTTCATGTTAGGAAAAATCAGGAGGACATGAATGGCACCTTCTTAAAAGTTACTTTTGGTTTTGTGGTAGATGGTGGGTAATACAGAGACCCAACCTGTTAAGAGAATAAAAGCTAATGCAGTGCTCAACTATAAATGAGAGCTCTGTTTCACAGCCTCTCCCTACAAAGCTGAGAGGTCAAAAGAGGGGGTGGAAAGATTACAAGAGGCAGAAGGGGTAGATGTCTGTAACAAAACATTATTTGCTGAATGTGAGCTCGCAGGGAAGGAATGTACACACAAAACCTTCATAGGGTCAAGGCAGCCACAGTTCCAACCATAGATGGGGGCAGGGTTTATATGAAAAATATGTTGAGGAGCTATTGACAACTGAGGGCTGCTGGGGAGGCAGTTTTCAGAGTTGCAGTCTTTGAGAGGCTACCTGTGCTTAGTGGATGGCCCCATACTCATACACATATAGTCAGCAAAGTAGACTTGGTGAGAGAGAGAGAGAGACATAGATAGACAGAATTGTGCCTGGATTGCAAGACCCCAAAAGACCAGCAGGAGTTGAGCTCGTTGCAAAACATATGAGGATCTTTTTACTACAAGCTAGCTTGGGCTCACACTCTCACGGTCGGAGTGGTTGAGAGCCGAGAGCCTAGTGCTCAGGTTAGGCAGGTGATTTAAAGGGTCTGGTCCCTCCCAGTGTACCCAAAGCAGGGGAATTCCTGCCTGGCAAGCACCTATTGGTCAAAACACAAAATGGCACATTGCATTTTTAATTGATTGGCTATAGGAAGGCTCCCAAACCATTAATGGTTTGGCTTCCCTTTTTGGCTGTCCTAGGGGAGATGGGCTGGTTTCCTAGCAACTGTATCTATAGTGAGCAGCAAAAGAATTCAGTAAGGCTGGTCCCTCCCAACTCCCCCCAGCAGGAGGATGGATATGTCTCCACCTGGCTAGCCTTTGTTCAGGCTTGTGCTTTAAACTTTTAATTCTTTGGTCTCTCAATCCCAATGCATTATATTCATATACGAATATTAAATAAAACATTAAGGGATGATAAAGAAAGTCACTTATGGTACAACCTTGGAAGTACTGCAAGAGATCTGGTAAAATTAATAGTTTCACTCTCTTAATATGTGGGAAAAGGAACAACAGCCAGGAAACAGGGTTTGGTCAAAACATAGAGCTTTTGATTGGGGTTCTGTCATGTTACAGATCTAAATTAACATCTCATAAGAGGCTCTTGTCTTAAATAAAGAACTGAACTCTAGCTTTGGAAGTGTATTTGGATTAAGAGTTCTCAACTTTATCACTAGTTAATCCACTGATAATGACTAGGTGGACTATTTGGAGATGGGTCTCTTGAAGGAAGTAGGGTCATGCCTTTGTCAGGTAAGTGTTATTTTAAGAGCCTACCTCTTTGCCTCTCTCTGCTTCCTGGATGTCACACAGTAATCGGTTTTCTTGTTCCCTGCCTTTTTGCCATGATGCTATTGTCTTGCTACAGGCTTAAAAGCAATACCACTCGCCATTTATACCCACATGACTCTTCCTCCTAAGGTACCTCTGTAGGTAGTTATGCACATGACCAATTGAATCTTTGGGAACATCTAAGTCACAGTAAAGAAAATGTAAGAAGACAAGAAATATAAGACAATAGACATTTTTTTCTTTCTCTTTCTAAGGCCAGGAGACAAAGCTCATATCCTTGCAAGTATAAAGTAGATATTTTCCTTTTAAATACAAATAACTTGAGCACCCAGAGAGCAAAATTTTTGTGCATGGACAATGTCACAATAAACATGGCATCTAAGTATCTCTTTTGTATACCGACTTCATTTATTTTAGACCTTATTTATTGTAGCTATATCTTAGAGTGTTTATTTCCTGGAATAATTGACTTTGAGCAGTATATAGACACATGAGCATTGCGAAAATCTTCCAGTTTTTATGAATGTTCAACACTCTTCCTTTTTCCTCCCCAGTACCATGGCTGGCTTACTTATAGCTTTTGCCATCTCTTTTATGAACAATTTTTACATCTCCTTAGTTTGCTCCTCTTTCATCTTCCTTTCTTTTATATTTACTTCATTCAGTTCCAGAGTACTAGCTCTACAGACTGAATGCTAACTTGGCAAGATCTCAGATAGGCACCACCTCTTTGTTTGTATGTAAGACTCTCCATGTCTTCTAATTTGCTAAATCTAGAATTTTGCAAAATTACAGCTAAATGAATGAATCTGTCTCTGAAATTTTTTGCTTCTTATCATTTGACTTTTGAGTCATCTTTATCCCATTCTTATGAATCTTTCGCCATTTCTCTCAGTACAATATTATTAGTATGAACTAAAAAATGATTCACACTTCTAGGCACAGTATGTTGTACCCTTATCTTCATTCTTTGTATTATTTGTGTGAGATACACTATTCCTATTCTATAGAGTAGATTATTAATATTAAAACAAATTAAATTATTTATTTAATGTAATTTTACAAACAAGTGGCTGAGACATGTGTAGATTTATGAGGAATATTCAGGAAGTCCCAACCATGTAATTTAATGCATCTGTTTATCAAGTATAAACCACGTGATTATGTTATTGTTCTTAGAACATATTTGAAAAGGATTCACCATCACTGGGAAAACTCATCAGAAGAAACATTTGGAGTAAGCTGTGCTTGTGAATTGATGGTTTTTTATAAACACACATGTACTCGTTTTCATGAAGATATATAGATTTTGCATAAAATTAATAAACAACTTTATTGCACTGTTTACTCCTCAGAAATGTTTTGTTTGCTTGTATTTTAAATTAGCGTTTTTCTTTTGAATTTCTTCTTTCAATCAGCTGGGAAAATGTCTCAGTGGGTAAAGCATTTGCTATGTAAGCAAAGAAGACCTGAATTCATATCCCCAGCACCCACACAACAGCTGGGGGAATGTCAGTGAGCAATTGTAATTCCAGAGCTAGGATACAGAGACAGAAGAATCTCAAGGGTCTACTGGTCAAACACCTGGGTAACCAGAGAACTTCAGGTAAGTGATCTTGTCTTAAGAAAGCAAGATGGAAGTCAGCGTGGGCAGACACCTGGTGTTGTACTGTGGTCGCCACACATTTGTGCGTGAATGCATGAACCTGCACACACACACACACACACACACACACACACACACACACACACACCCCACGTATCCACCCTCACACATAGACTATTAAGTAAGTAAATATTTCAAGCAAGATCTAGTTTAATATGAAAGTTTTTATGATCTTATATGTCTTTCAATGTATGTGGTTTGTTATATATGGAAAAAGAGAAAGGGTAAAATATAAGTCTTGATAGATGGCACAGCTAAATAAAGGCTTCTACTGCTAAGACTGATGACATGGGTTCCGTCTGTGGAGCACACAGATATATGGGGAGAGGCCACTCCCATTCCTTATATATATTGCCTAAGGTAGTATCAAAATAAGATTTCAAAATCCAAAAGATAATATACAGAATGTATGTTGCACTAGAGCAATTGCTTATCCATCAAGTAACCTATGACAGCTTTGGAGCTGTCAAGATGCCTGCTCTCTTCCAGTAGTTTGTCTTACCTGATAGCTATCAACAGTGTGTCTCCTCTACTTCCCAACATGCCAATATTAACGCTAGCTTTGGTCACTGTGATTCAGAGAAAATAACTGAAATGCATATCACATAACGACATAATATAGTCACGTGTATGTAAGGGTGAGTTGATTTCTCTGTAATAAATAGAATGCTATTTTACCTCATGTTATAAACACAGAGATTAGAAAACATCTACTTTTTCTGTTGCTGGTGCTACAGAAAGGACCTTTGATTTGCTCTGTGAAGACCAAGTAGGCAAGGAAAGCATTCTAAATCATGGAAGACCAACAAAAGAAAATTTAACTTAATACTTATAAGTACTTTGATTAAATTTGTGTCTGTCTTATGAATTCAGTGCTGCCTTTCATTTTCCTTAGCCATGTAGCTCACATAACCTCCTTCATTAATCCACTGAAGTGAGTTCTTCCTGACCTAGACCTTATTCTTGCATCAGAACTGTGAATAGAAAGATTCTGTGGGCTTGGCCTATCAGAGAAGAGCTCGAACGTTCTGTTTTATGATGCTCCAAAACTAAGTATGGACCTTTGATACTGAAGTAGGCTCTGTCCAGCTGCCATAGAAGTTGCCAAAATGCCTCTGGGTTGCCTCCCAACAGCTATTCTGGCTCACATGGTAGCCATTAACAATGTGCCTCCTCCTCCACTCTGCAGCATACCACGTAAGTGAAGCTTTTATGAAGGTCTCATGCCTTCCCTTGATTCAGTGTGAAAAATGGAGATGTGAGAGCCAATGAAAATACAGAGGCCCTTGCCTAACAGCCAGTAATGAAAGAGCGTAGTTGTGCAAGGCTGGCTTTATCTATTTGAGGCTATTTCTACTGTGTAGGTCTAAAATACTTTTCTCTTTGTAAAATGAGGATCTTGATGAGATCTGGGAGCTTCAGCAATGTTCCGTTTCTATATAAATATCAAAGTACTCTTTAAGGAATAGAGAAGGTGGGATCCCTGTGATATCGTAGGGACCTACAGACAAGGTTTCTGGAAAACCTTGTATCTCCACATTAAGTTGGTGCTACTGCTCTGAGTGCATTTCCACCAGGGAAGTCTCACTTTACATTTCAAAGAAGGAAAATCATTGCATTATTCTGACTGAGATAGGTTTCTATTTTACTTTTGTATTGCAGCTTCTGATTTCTCATGTCATAGAAATTATAAATACAAAATTCAATATTTTGATATTTAGACAGTAAGCAGTATTTACTGTGTGTAGTCAATGTAAGCCCAGCATGTTGTTAAGGGAAGCATATAAGGCTGTAGTCATGCATCTCTTATAGCTGTCTGGACACCAGAGTACTGATTTGTAACAGACAATAGTGTCGGTGTTGAAATCTAAAAACAACTTTTGGAGCTAGGTAACACTCAGGACTCAAAGCTGAATAAATTATTACTTCTATCATTTTCTTCTATCTTCCTGTGAGAGTTAACTTCTAGACAAATTTTAAAATTTCACTGTCATTATTTTCAAAGAAAGGATATACAAAACAGAAGCTTATACCCTTTAAAGAAATATTATATATATGTGAATACACATATCGATTTATCTAAAATACTAAATATATACTATATAAATCTTTGTAATTATTACTTCATTTGTTATTTTGTTTATTCAATTCTATCATAAAAATTCTTATATGTATTCAAGCTTTCTATAAGTGGAAATACATGTTCAAATAGTTTTTGTTCCTAAACCACTACTGTCAGGTTTTATTTATGAAAAAATAAATCACTCCAAGATTTTTTTTTTAATCAACCCAGGAAGTGTAATAGCTAGGAGTGAAAAGATCAAATTAATTTAGAATCAATGGGATGAGATGTGTGCTACCCTCTGGCACTTGACTTGTGTGAAGTGATTAAGAGATGAGAAATAGGCCATAATTTAGATCTTAGAGCTGAATGGAGATGGCGGAAAGCAGCAGACAGCGGTGCTCCTTGTTTCTTTGTAGAGGTTTTTAGTGGATGCTCTGTGCCTGTGACTGCCCTTTGGAGATGCATCCTGCTAGCTTAATGGCTAGGTCTTTGTGTTAATTCCAGCAAGCTGACAGTTAGCTAGGTCTTTGTGTTAACTCCAGCGAGTTGACAGTTTTCCTTGGCCCACTTTGTTGTCACAGCTGAAACAATATGATCGTGAAACCTGAGAGTGGAGAAGCTTTGTGTGTAGAGTGCCTCAACCTGCTTCCTATGGGAGCAGTAAAAGTACCGTGTACATACATAGGAGTGCTTGCTTAAATACATACAACATCTAGCCTCTATATACATTTTTGTTTGCTTTGAGTTTGGCCAGGAAAATTAGACTTAGGAATGCGTATTTGCTTTCTTTATAAATATTTGCATGTGAATATCATTCAAACTGAATACATTCTACAGACAATATATAACTATTTTTCATGTTATGTTGTTTCATTTATTTCTCAAAAAACAAAACAAAACAACCAAAAAAAACCTGTGAAGTCTCTGGTAGGCCATAATGCCCAGCAATGACATGTGCATTGTGAATTCCATAAACTCCGAATATGCTGAGATCCTGACAAGCAAGGGGGTTGTTATCTCTACAGCTAGAATCAAGGCAGCTAAATCAGCAGTTCTTGAGCACGAGAAAACCCCAGACACCACAGTGCACACTGCGATCATAAAGGCTTATTAGAGAAAGGACACGTGAAAAAGACCAGCTTTGGCAATGAGGGAAGACACGAGACAAGAAGCATCTGCACAGTGTCAGTAGCTGAAAAAGACAGCGATGAACTCTTTCCTAGTGTCTCAGGAGTATCACTATCATGCTGATAGCTTGATGCTAGCTCAGTGACATACTTCAGCCTTGTGATTTCCAGAACTGAAACACAACATATTGACGGTTCAAAGCTGATTGCCAATCGCTTACAAGAACAAGGAAAAAGAAGTACAAGCTCTTTCACAATTAGAGGCAAAGAGGCTTACATGTCATAGTAGGAGTCACAGCTAGAAAGGGTTTGGAGGCTTCTCGTAATACCCTCTATATAAATGAACTCTACTCATCAAACACAGAAGCAAAGCCAGTGGCAGCGTCAATTGCATCTTGCCATTTTTGTCTGCTAAGTTCTTCCTGATTCAAAGCACTCCATCCATCATAGCTCTTCAAGCAGGGCTCTGCTTCTTGTCCCCTGCGACATTATGATTCTAGACAGTGTACACAGAGGCTAGGATTCCTATCCTCCTGAGTCGGTTTCCGGCTTACTGTTTGTTAACTTTGGAACTTTCAAACCTTCCTTGTCTAAAATCTTGTGACTCAGGGTTCTTCACAGCTTAGTAACCTCAGGAAAAGACATTTTCTGAAAACCAAAGAAATGTTTTCATACTTTATTTTTGAAAAGAATTATTTCAAAGAGGTTGCAGTTAGAAGAGGATATAGTGGTTTTTCCACCTGCACAAAGTTGCAGATGTTGGAAGCAATCACATTGACCTACTCTTCTAACTTAATCTCTTGAAGCAAAGGAAAGAGTGTTAGTGGAATACAGGAGGCTGTCTTCGCCCTTACCTTGTGATTAGCAGTATGGTCTCAGGAGCTTTGTTTTTGCTAATAGGATTCTCTTCTATTTTCCTCACATTTCTTAGGCTTATCTTTCTGAAGAAAGGTTTAAAAATAGCTTGTACACTTAAACTACTAGCTCGTCTGGGAGGAATTAGTGCAAGAGTGCTGAGCTTTGCCAGTATTAAAACCACTTAAAAGTTCGAAAGACATTTGTAGATGTATGTTACTAGTTATTAGAATACAGAAAGAAAATATAAGAGCTCAAGACCCCAGACATTTTCGGGAAACATGAAGTTAGCTAGTACTCCTCAGTGAATGGGTTTCTGCACTCTGTTCCATCGTATAGTGTGCATTCACCGAAAGCATGCAAATACCACGCTGCCCTTCCTAAAACTTCAAGGGCATTCTCTGTAATCTGAGAGTTCTTTAGTAGCTGAAGATTAAAGGAGTCTCAAAACAAGTATTTAGAAGACTGAATGTTGCGCCATTTTAATGACTTAAACCCTTCAAACCTCCATAGGCACAGATGGTGGCAGGAGAAGTAGGAGCAGAGGCCTTGTCAGGAGAGAAGCAAATCATAGAAGTGTATTTAATACTCAAAGAAATAACATAAAATAATTGAATAAATAAAGGAAAGGAATATGAGAACAGAAATTCCAAGAAATATAGAAAAGGAGAAGATGGTTTAATTGTTCATGTGTCTCTCTCTGCTTATAAAAACACCATAGGAAACAAGGTATGTATTGGAAGATTTTAAAAATTATTTTTCAAAGTAAAAATCACTTTTGTTGTAAATACCATGGAGAAAAGATGAATGTTCATTGGAAAAGACAAACAACAAGAAGAAAGGAAGCAAGGCAATGTGGCACAGGCCTATAATCCCAGCTCTCTAGAATTCCAGGTAGAAGGCAGAATGATTTGGCTGTGCTACACATCAAATATATATATATATATATATATATATATATATATATATATATATATATATATATATATATATTCATATATATATTCATATATATGTGAAATATATATAAATATATATTTATATATATAAATATATATATATTCATCCACTTTTGATGAGGACAAGGAATTGGGTAGGAGAGGGTGTGGGGAGGTAAATGATGGGGCTAGTATAAGATGTGGAGAGAGTGAGGAGGGGAGGCAAGAGGACTTGGAGAGAAAAGGGAAACTGAGGACGGGGGCATCTCTGAGTCAAGCTGGAGACCTGCAACAGGGTAGGCTCTTGGGAGGACATGGGGATGACTCTAGTCAATCCTCCTATCAGCAGGAAACATGGAAAATGAGGAGGCCACCTTCTAGCCAGGCAGGACTTACAGTGTTGGGAGGGGAATGCCAATCCTCCTACAAAACCCTTTGACCCAAAATTTACCCTGCCTACAAGATGTGCAAAGATAAAGATAGAGGAGAAACTGAGGTAATGTCCAACTAATGCCTGGCCCAAGCTGAGACCCACCCCATGGGAGAGAGCCAACCTCTAACACCATTAGCCTTACCCTGCTATGTTTACAGATAGAAGCCTAGCATAACCATCCTCTGAGGGGCCCCACCCATCATTCCACACAGCCAAGCAGTAAGCAGAGCTAGGGGAGTCCTGTGGAAGACTGGGGTGTGTGAAGGAGAGAAGGACCCAGAGGGGAAAAGAACACCACAAGAAGACCAACAGAGCCAACTAACCTAGGCCAATGGGGGCTCCCAGAGACCACGCATGGGCTGGACCTAGGCCTGCTCCACATATGTAACCAATGGGTAACTTGATCTTCATGTCAGTTCCCTAGTAAGTTGAGCTGGTACTGCCTAGACATGGACCCTGTTGCCTGCTCTTCAATCACTTCCCCGAGGGGGGGCTGCCTTGCCTGGCCTCAGTGGATGAGGATCTTTTCTGAGAAGATGAGGGCAGATGGAACAAAGCGGGAGGGTGTGACCAGGAGGAGAAGGAGGGGCTACGATTGGATGCAAAGTAAATATATAAATTTAAACAATATCTCTTTAAAAATTACGATTGTCATAACTATCTCAATATGTGCATATCATTGGTAGACAATCTTGAGTGGATTTTTAATATAAGTGTTTAATTTTTTTTGAGAATTTTATAACAGATTTACATCATTTCCCCAACTCCTCGGGTCCCCT